ACACCATGATTGGTGCATGATAAGTGCATGATATGCCAGATTTTGACCAGTGTAAACCACTACAAATTAGTAAAGCTTGCTCTCCCAGGTAGTAACAGTAGTCATGTTGTTATTGTCGTCTTAATTGTAGTTGTAATTGTTGTGATAATAAGTGGAAGAATTGTTGTCGTTGTCAAGGTCAAAAGTATTATAATAAGTATCATTGTTATCAAATAGTTTAACTTCTTCTTTTTGTTTATGCTTTTGTTTAGAGGGGTTAAATTTGATTATTGATTATTTTCGAGTTCTTAACCGTTGTAATTCTCTGGCAAAAGAATTGTCCGAATAACTAGATGTAATAATTAATTTGGGATGACAGAAGTATTCTCCTTGTCTTATCCTTTGTTACAAGTGGGATGTCTTTTCAGACCAATTACTAGAATTAGATCCTTCAAGTATTACTGGGTTAAGCTGACTAGAAGGATAGTGTGATTTGGGAGAAGCTAATAAATTTGTTTCAACTAATGATACTCCTAGTTTTTCTTTTGGAATACTTGATTCAGTTTCTATAGCAATATCTTGAATATTTATTTCTTCTAACAATTCTACAACAGTAGAAAAAGGTTTGGGTTTTATTTCTGGTCGGATATGTTTTGAAATTGTAGGGGATTTAGTTATTAATTTAGTTTTTGCAGTAGTTAGGGATGAAATATTATCAAGCTTATCAGCTTTTGGGAACTGTATAGTAGAGTCTTGTGGTAACGTCACAATGGAAAGTGGTTGTGGTGTAAAGATAGTTTGCGAGAAATCTTCTGGTATACTAGAAACTAATTGCTCCAATCGTTTTGTAACGTGTGTAATCAGAGATTCAGTGTGAGGTATTCTCTTACTCAAAACTGCAAATTATTTATTTATTTAAGATACTTATGGAGTATTAATTTAAAAGGGAAAAATTTTCTTTTAATTAGTTTAGGTCATTTAAAATTTGGTAGCAGTTATCTCAGATTCGAAAAAGTAAATTGTATTGGTCTTTGATTTTGTATAGTTCTAAAAGGTCTTCTAATTTCCACACAGATTCTTTTGATTCGGATGTTTGATTGACTATATATTTTATCTTTTGTCGATAAAGTTCTGCGATTTCCTTGATGATTTTATTAAGTTCTTGAATTTGCTCAGTATTAATTATAGAAATAAATTACTAATACTAAAAAGTGTAAGATTATGATTATCTAAAATTATGACTAACTAATTAAGGTCTTTGCATTGAAGGATAATTAACTAAAAGAAGATAAATTATAAAATACTATATTGGGATGATTAAAATAAAGGATAGAATAACTATAAAAATTTTGATTTGTTTTTACTAGAAGGCATCAAATTGTTACTAGTCAACCTTTTGAGCTAATTTTATTTTTCAAAAGGCAATTTACAACTAGCAACTCGTAAACAGTTACTTTAGTTTACGAATTGAAGAGGATAATAGAAGAAGAATAAAAGAAATATTAAGTTAAATACTAAAAAAAACTAATTAAAAGACTTAAGAATTTAGGGTCACAGGTTTTAAATATTAATTAACAATTTAAGTTTTAAAGGTCAATTTAAGAAATTAAGATAAAGAATTGAATATATTTATCAATGGTTTATAAAATAATAATGGGATTTTATAGATCAGAATTTATATTCAAAAAATATAATTTATAAAAGAACAGGGTTTTAATAGAAAAGGTATAGATTTATTATGAAGAAAATCAATAATCCAATTACTTTAGAATTACAAAAATATTACAATTGAGATTACTTTCTAAATTTCACTATTTAGAATTATTCG